AAATACAATGACGTTCAAAAGTTGCCAAAATAGGGGCTGGAGAGATGGCTCACTGGTTAAGTGCACTGACCTGTCTTCTAGAGGACCCGGGTTCAATTCCCAACAAACACATGGCAGCTAACAACTGCCATAACTCCAATTCCAGGGGATCCAATACCCTCTTCTAACCTCTGAGGGCTGCACAGCATGGGTGTACATATATATATATATATATATATAAAATACACTCATACACATAAAATAAAAAAAATTGTTAAAACCTCCAATACTAAATGATACAAAAATCCCAGCGACGTCACTGACATAGTAAGGTTTGCCTCTTGTAGTTAATCTCAAAAGTGAAAATATGGGGCTGGAGAGATTGCTCAGTTGTTAAGAGCACATATTGTTCTTACAGAAGACCTGAGTTTGGTTCTCAGTACTCACATCAAGTGGCTCCAGGGGATCCAGTGCCCTCTTCTGGCCTCTAAGGGCAACTGTACTCACATATGAACAAATTCACATGAACACACACATAGACACACATAATTAATACATCATTAAAAAAACAGAACAGAACCCTTACAATGTTATTTACAATCCTACTTAAAATTTACCTTTCTCTGACATCAAGGTGGCACAGTCCTAGGGTCATGCTGAGTACATGAATACAGTGTAGAACCTATCAGAACCCTTACTTATGAATGCTAGAACATTGAACACAGGGACTTTTATGACATACATACAATTTACTGAGCTCTCAATGCACACAGGTGGGAGGTCATCTGAGAAGTAGACTCTTGGGGCTTTTCCCTACTGTCCAGAGGGATTGTCTACATTCTCCAAAGTGGTTCTTTTGTCATTTGCCTAGTTGATGGATAAAGCATGGCGTTCTCATGGTCTTCATGGAGCAGGCAGACTTGGTCCTACAGCAACACTAATGGTATTCTAAAGACTGACGCCTCAGTTCAGGAGCAAGCCAAGGCTTAGCATGTTCTGCTCTGGCAATAAGCAGCCCGTATTTATTCTTTGAGAAACACTGCCCTTCTTATTTTCCTTCAAAGGGTTCTAGAATGTCAGTCCACTGGGTGGGGACTTCCTCTGGTTAAAGTTTCTCATATAAACTTAGAGACTAAGTTTCATAAGCAAAGTGAAAAAAAAATCCACAATAGAAATATGGAGAGAAAAGGAAAATAAAGCTCTCCTGTGCAGACAGAACCACTGCACTTGTTACTTTTCTTGTTGTGACCAAATACCTGCCAGGATGAAACTCAAGGGAGGAAGGGTTTACTACAGCTCACAGTCTTGAGGTACAGTCCATCCTGGTAGGGAAGCCATGGCAGCAGGAGACTGCTCGCTCACATGGGGGGAGGGGTCCAGGCAGCACACAGAGATGAGGGCTGGAGTGCAGCTGGCTTCCTCCTTCCCCTTCTTATTCAGTCTTGGACCCTAGTCCATGGGGCAGTGCCACCCTGGGTCTTCTCTCCTCAGTTAAAATTCTATAGAAATACCCTCAACAGACATACTCAGGCTTATATCTCCTATGTGATTAGAAATCCAGTCAAGACTATGATGAATATTAACCATCACAACTGCCATGAAAGCATTAACAGAGCTGGCTGAAATGACAATTCTGTGTTACTAAAGCCATGTGAATAGTCATCACACATCCTGACCTACTCACACAGAAACAGAAAACAAGTAACACAAATGGATAAGTACAACTTTTAAACAAGTTTATTTACTTACATATTCGACATTCTTTTTAGCCCTATTTTTAAAGCTCAAAGCAGGGTGCAGCAAGTACTTGGGAGCACAGCAGGGGCGGGCCTCCCTCCTTCCTCTGCTCACACCTCACCATGTTGCTCCTTGAGCCTTGCCTTTCTTCCAGACCACATTCCAGCAACGGAGGGCTCACCATCACTCTTGCCTGGGAACCTGGACAGGAAGCTCTGAATGGCCACCGCATATGCCATTTCTGATGAGACCACACTGCAAAGGCTGCACTTTCAAATAGGAGAGCAGAAACTTCTACACATTTTAGAGTCTACCAGTCTGCACTTACAGTGCTTAATTAATTCAGCATTTACATTTCAGACCACCAGGTGCACACACATGCACAGACACAAGAGGTTTTTTCCTCCGCTCTAAGCATCCAAGTGCCTCTCCTTTACATTTTTGCTGTAGACAGCAAACAAGCAAATTGTGTAGTTTGAAACAATGATGAATGTAACAAAAAATAACGCTTCAGGATATAAATCCTAACAAAATATGTTCAGGAGTAAATCAATGACAAGAAAATATGCATTTTTAGTTTCTTAAGCTTCCATATTTCTATGAACTCAGGCTGCCCTTATACCAAGGGTTAAAGCAGACACTTGTTAAATTTCTTTCTAACTAAAAAATTCTATGATGCTAGGCTCAACAAGAATTTCTTTATAAATGTTTTTACTGTGCTTGACTCACTCTCAATAAGTAGTTCATTAATTCAATTCTGACTTTAAAATAACCAAATGCAACTAAATTTCACTATGGAGAAGCTGGACACAATGGCACATGCTGTATTTCTAGCACTCTGGAGATAGAGAAAGGAGGATCAGGAGTTCAAGGTCATCCTTGGATACATAATGAGTATGAAGTCAGACTGGGCTACATGAGACCCTGTCTCAACCTTCTCCCCAACCACTTCGAAAAAGAAGTCACCTACCCAGGCATGGTGGCATGTGCCTTTAATCTCAGCTCTAGGGAGGCAGAGGCAGGTGGATTTCTGTAAGATTGAGGTCAGCCTGGTCCACATAGTGAGTTCCAGACCACCTGGGGCTACAGGGAGACCCTGTCAAACAAAAAAAAAGTCACCGAGACATCAAAAGCAATAAATGATCCGTAGCATTATCAAACCAATAAAAACACAAATACCCATGAAAACACAAGAAATATGATTTTCTAGTAAAATCATTACCAGCATTCATGAGATTCCTCTGAATGTACTAGATTCTGAGTTCCTAGTAAAAACGACAAATAGGTGCTCAATATCTGCTAAACAAATTCACTCTCATCAATAATAAAAAGCCATTAACACATCCAAATTTTTAGAGTTAGGGACATATTTAGGTGGCAGTGCTTGCCTAACATGTGCAAGGTCCTTGGTTTGAGTCCTAGCACCACAGAAACCCAAATACCAAATATTGAAATCACCAAAGCTTAAAGTAATGTTACTTAGGGTAAAGACAGTGACTGTGAAAATCTATACTATTTTCCTGAAAGGCAGACAAGTATTTGATTTTGGCCTGAAAGCCCACTTCAATATTTGGCAATTTTTCCAAAGAAACAATCAGGTGAGGGGCCAGTGAGGTATACTGCAATCACATGAGAAAATATCTTACTCTAAACCTAAAAGTGAAAACCAGGAGATGGCTCTGGGTAATCAATCATAGGGACTTGCTAATTAAGATATGGTGTATCAGTTTAATCCCATTAAAAATAACACACATATTTGCTGGGCGTGGTGGCACACACCTTTAATCCCAGCGCTCGGGAGGCAGAGGCAGGCGGATCTCTGTGAGTTCCAGGAGAGCTGGGGTTACAGGGAGACCCTGTCTCAAAAAGACCCGCCCCCCCAAAAACAAAAAAAAATATGTATGTATGCTTTTGTTCGTTTTTGAGAAAGGATCTGTTCATATGGCTCAGGCCGACTCAGAACTCATAATTCTTCTGCCACAGCCTTCTGAGTGCTGGGATTACAGGTATGTGCTGTCTGACTGGAGGTATATTTTTGAATGTTGTTAAGGACTAAAAGCAAGTTATATATAAAATTACTACATGGCCTAACAATTATACTTCTAGGTAGATTATCAAGAAAAATAAAGATACAGGCCAACAAAAAGTTATTCACAAATGCTCATAGCAACATTATTCAAAATAGCCAAATGTTTGGAAATAAAATATGCGTTATTAGCCAGTTTGTACAAAGAAAACTGTACTGATACACATGTTGTGTGCTTTAAAGGAGTGAATGTTCCCAGAAACATAAATGTGAGACTGAAATTCACAGGAAACCCCAAGAAACTCTGAGCAGCCGAAACACTTTTAACTGGAAAAACAAAGGTGAACTTTTCTCTCTAAAAGTTAATCCAAACAGTACAGCACCAGCATCCAAGCAGACACACAGAGTAGACAGCTCAGAGGTTCACCCTCATACATGTGGCCAGGTGATCTGCAAATGGGTGTCAAGCTAGTTAATGAAAAAGGAGCATTCCCTTCACCAAATGGAGCTGGCAACACTCACCATTCACACAGAGAAGCCCGAAGCTGACCTTTTACCTAAGATTATGCAAAATGGGTCAAATATAGAAACATAAAAACCTAAGACTATAAAGTTTTGGGGAAAAAACACAGACCTCAAAAGATGAACAGAAAAACAAAATGTGCTACACACCTTGGAATACTATTCGGTTTTAAGAAGGAGGATGTCCATTTGTCACAGGCCATAACATGGTTGGAACTGTGGATATTACACTAAGTGAAATAAGCCAGTCACAAAAAAGATACTGTCTGACTTCATGTTTATGAGGTACTTAGTTAAATTCACGGAGACAGAGAGTAAATGATGATTTCCAGGAGCTGGACAGACAGGAAAGGGGGAGGAGTTATGTAAGGGCATGGAATTTTAGTTCTTCTGGGTGAAAAGGCTATGGAAGTCCGCTGCACGACAATATGAACGTATTTTACCCCACTGAACTCTGTACTTAAAGTGGCTCAGATGGTAGGAAAAACAGAATTTACTATGTGACAATTTGTCAAAAATATTGTATGAAGTAAAAAACCACAAAACTAAGTAACATGCATGTAAGTCAGAAATTTTAGGTTAAGAATCAGTTTTTACAGGGTTTGGATCAGAGGTAAGAAGTCTATTCTACATTTCAGTAGTTTAAGACTTTTCTTCTGGTAGAAATGTATAGGTTTGACAGTTATACAGAAACAGACCACATTTCTATTTAGGGCTCTTTATCAAGAGGTCCTACCTGGGCTGGAGTGTTTGTAGTCACAGGAGATGGCGATTCACTGACTTTTGGCTCACTAGGGGATGCAGCTGACCCCTGAGACTCCTGGCTTGCTGGCTGGTCTGGAGACAAAGCGTCACTGCTGTCTTCATCAAAGGAGAAATCGCCCTGAGTGTGGGGGTAGTCCTCCTTCCCCACACCTGCAGAGAGAACCATTGTTAACTCACGTGGCCTTGGACTACCAAGCCTAATGCAAAAAAGGAGAAAGTTTCCCCTAAGAATTTAAGAAGCCAGTTAAAAGAAAAAGAAGAAAAGGGAATGCACTGTACTTCCAGGGGGAAGCCCACACTATCTATGATAAAAGCCTCTGGAGCAAGCTGCCAGCTGTAGGAAGAACAGGAGACAGGAGCGCTTTGTTGTGGATTGTGGGGCTGGTGATGGAACCCAGGGCTTTGTACATGCTTGCCAAGAGCTCCATAACTGAGCTGTACCCCAGTCCAGAAGGAACGTTAACAACACCATGCCAACGCCATGGGGCAAACCAGAATGTGGGGTAAACAAGCCTGTTTTGTCCACATATAGGATAAAAATGGAAGGAGGACCCCTCAACAGAGTGAGAAAGACAGGAGACATATGGACCTCATTTAGGCTGACCTGGAACACAGGACGCAGTGGGGAAAATGGGGCTGTTACTGGTGTCTGGTGAAGTTTCCATTTTGAGGAATAGCCCAGCTGCATTCACACCTTACTTTTGGGGGTCTATCTCCCCAAATGTCTGGAATCATAGTTGATTGTACATATTAGAATCTGTGACTATGAACTGCCTAAGCTTTAAACTCATACTAATTCAAAATAAAAAGTCCCCAGGAGTATGTGAGCTACACTAATTTTTAAGATAGGATAATAACTTTAAAAAATTGCTTGCTCAATGAGAATCATTTTTGATTTCTTTCTAGATAAAGCTTACATCAGAAACAAAAAGAGCAACAGAGATGCTAGGGTGAAGCTCAGTGGTAGAGAGTGTGCTTAGCATGTTCAGGCTTAGGTTCAATCTCTAGGATCAAGAAAAAGATAAACAGCAGGAAGGAAGTACAGACTAGGAAAAAATGGACAGACGCTACTATCCTTTTTTAAAAAATATTTTATTATTTTTATTTTATGTGTATGAGTGTATTGCCTGCATGTATGTGAGCGCACCCATGTTGTGCAACTGCGGAGTTCAGAAGAGGGCGTCAGACTCCCCTGGAACTGGAGTTAAGGATGCTACTATTCTTAAAAGAATATAATGATATTCATGCGCTATTCAGCTTAATTTTGAACAAGCTAGTTACCTTTTCTAGATTTAGAAATAATGAAAAGTTCTTAAGAATATTAAACTAAATGGTACAATGAAGTAATTTAAGTTAGAAAATTGATAATGACATCAGAAGTCAGACTTAGACCTCCAACATAGAATAGGAATCCAAGCTGAATAGTAGCAGAGGCTATTTTCTAGCATATAATAAAATAATAGCAACAGGAATCATTAGTGTTCATTCATTTCTAATTAACCCAGAAAATTATATCCTTGATTGGTGCTGGCATTTTAATTAAATCTGTTTTATCTAAAATCCCCATGTTTGCCTTTCTCCTAGAAGACAGGATGGTCACTCTTGCCTATAATGGCTTCCTTGACGCTGGAGTCTACAGGAAGAATGTTCTTCTCCACTAGCTCCATAGGCCCAGGCCTTTGAGCAATCTTCTCGTTCAGATCGTCAGCCAGCCGAGCTCTTTTCAACTTCATCTGAGTAGCCTGAAGGGATGGCTCTGCAAATGTTTCTAAAAGAGGAAGCACAGTTTTAACTCTTACCTGGAGTACTATTTCTACTTTGGGCCAACTGACTGACTAAAACTAGTTCAAACACACTAAAGTGTTCTCAGCATCTTTGTGGAAGGAGAAAGTGACTGTTAAGAGCGCTCTGGTACACTCCGTATCTCTTAGCACTGGACAGCTTGGCCTGTCTAGACAACACAAATGCCTGCAGACTTGAGATAACTTGAACTTGGAAATGGGAACTATCACTGTCTACCTATGGTAGGTCAGATTCACATTTGTTAGGTATTGGGAAGACACAGCATGAAGACGACACATATGGTCCAGGGCTCTAGAAGTATATGGGTCTAGATATGTCTTCACTAAAAAGGGAAGTGCTACATCTTAGGATAGAAACTTCTTTATTTTCTTCAGTGGGAAGAGCTATGATTCATATTCTTGGATTGATCTCTGCGTACCTCAGGGTCAGGTCCTGTAAGAATTTGAGTTTATTTCTGAGCATATAAACCTTATGTCTATTAGGAAGATCCAGTCACATCAGATGATGGTGTACAGAAGCATCAAGTCATGTACTTACAGATGAGGAAGATGCTACAATAGATATGAAGCTATTATAAATCTGACACACCCGCTTGATTCTGTCCATCCTGGTGCTTCTGGTAATTCGTTAACACCTTCATCCCATTGTCCTGAGTAATACTTATGCTTGTTTAAAAAATAAGTGATGTGTGTCAACCCCAGATTCTGAAATGATTCTAAGTTCTTATGAGATAAAGCACATCTAACTGGGTGGGAACATGACAAGTGAGGAGACTCAGATGAGGCCAACCACTCAGGTCTACTTTCCAGAGGCCAACCACTCAGGTCTACTTTCCAATGTTTTTGATCAAACTAGGAAAGTCTTCTGTTTTTCTCCCTTCTCCCATTAACCATCAAAGTGACAGCAGGAATACATCTGTAAGGAAAATATTTCCAGAATAGTAAGTGGAGCCTGGTGTGCTTTTGTTTGTGGTCTTATTTCCTCAATTCCATGAAGCTGAGGCTTGATTTAAGCTGCTGAACTTCAGAAAATTAGGTTATTGTTAAAATATGGTTGGAGGCGGTTTTAGGATATTTCAAAAATTAAAGCTGATATACTCTTTCTCATTCCCCAAATACCAACAAGAATCTATGTCCTAAAGACATTACATAGGGATTTTTCATATATTCTCTTAGATTCTTAACTGTTAGTTGGATTTTTTTTTTTTTTAGAGATTTTTAAATTGTGTGTGTGTGTGTTCATGTATGTTGAGTGCAGTGCCTGCAGAGTCCAGAAGAGGATGTTGGATCTTCTGGAGCTGAAGTTACAGGTAGTTATGAGCTGCCCAACATGGGTGTTGGGAACCGAACGCTGGTCCTCTACAAGAGCTGTACATGCTCTTAACTACTGAACCATCTCTCTAGCCCCTTGGCCCCTTGTTTTTAATAACAAAAAGTTTTGGTATTTCCTTGATTTTAATATATTAATGAAGTCTGCTATATTTAAAGGGTGAGTGGAAACAGACAGCACTGTTACTACACACACATTGTTCCTCTCGGTCAAGATACTTTTGACCTAGAGAAGCCATTTTTGGCCTAGAGAAGCTATGTGCCGTGTTACTTACCAGAGGGCTTGCTGCTTTGCAATCACTGATCCCTGAGATCTGGTAGCTGCTCTACCCTATCACTGTAGCACTGACAAGCTTTTCAGTTTAGGGGACTTCTAAGAACACAACCCACAGTAGAGAGAGGCATATCCTACTTCCTGCCCCGGAGCAAGGACAAGAATTCTTCAGTTCTAGGAACCCTTACACGGGAGTGTGGAGAGTAGCTTGGAACTTGGCACTTCTTTACTTATTTTCATTTTATGTGTATGAGTGTATTGCCTGCATGTATGTAAGTGTGCCTGTGTTGTGCAATGCCCTTGGAGGTCAGAAGAAGGCATCAGATCCCCTGGAACTGGAGATATAGACAGTTGTTAGCTGCCATGTAGGTGCTGGATACCAAACCTGGGTCCTCTGCAAGAGCAGCCAGTGCTCTTAACTGCTGAGGGTACTTGGCATTGTCTGTCTCTGCCCCTGGAGCACATGCTCCAGAAGTCAGACACCCACATCTTGTTCACTGTTGGGCCTCTGGTGTCCAGCACTCTGGCCAGCAACTGAATACCTTTAACAACAGTCACCTACCACCTCCTGAATTCTTCATTTTTGGATGTCTGACCTACTAGGATGCTATCCTGCATGGTATGCTACAATCTGGTACCTTGTAAAATCAACCCAATTCTAATATTAATTCTAATTTTATCACGTTCCAGAGAGAACAGACTGTCTTTCTACCTTACGACTGGGCCTCTGGTGTCCAGCTTCTTTAAATGTTTGAGAAGCTTCCAGATTCTGGAATTTGATTCTTCTTCAAAGCTTAACACTCCCATGACTATCACAGGACCAAGCTTCTACTCTTGCTCAATCAGTTAGTCACAGAAGCCAAACAATGGCAGGAAATGCAACTCTGGGAGTTTTGTTGGAGGGACCAGCTTTCAAGAAGGCTCTGTCTTTAGAAAGAAGAACGTCCAGTCTTGAGCCATGTGTTTTGCAGGAATGGAATGAGGCTACATCACCCAGAGGAATGGAATGGGCTGAGACCCGATCACCTAGAGGCTTGGTGGGGGCAGGCAGAGGTGCTTATGTAACAGTCAGGTCAAGATCACTATAGGTGAGTAGTGACGAAGAGGAGATGACGGGTGTGGGCATCGTGTCTGGTAGACAACAATGAAGTCCAAGTTGCTGAAAATCTAGGATTAGACTTGTGATTATTGTGTACTCTGGCTTGATGATATATCCCTTATTATAAGTAAGTCCTCTAGACCAAAAATGTCCTTCCAGGACAGAATGGTAGTGGCACCTATGGGCAGCTTGTGGGAAGAGGCAGTTCATCAAGTGGGTATCTAGAGTATCAAATGTTCCCCAGGAATCAAACACAGAATTTTAGTTTTGAGTCTTCATGTTGCTATCCAATTTGAGGGTGTCAGCCTGTGGGGCAAAAAGTTATTAAAATGGGAATGAACAGAAATGATAGAATACTCTTCTTTTCTTAAGGAAATGCAGCAAAACCATCAGTAATAAAGCCCTTACCTTCTAAAATGTGCATCCTGACGAGTTCTGAACGATCTGGCCGACTCCGAATCTTGTGCTTCAAAAAGTTTTCAGTCTTAAAAAAGAGAAGTAAAACTCTTTAACAAATTATTTATGATTTATTGTGGTTTAAAATTTTCTCCAAGATACTCCATTAAAATAAATGATATAACCCTTTTTGTTGTATCTTTGAAACACTGGAAATTTAGTACTTAAAAGAAATTATTATTTAACATATGATTTAAATTGTAGCCTCCAAAATCTTTCAGGGACTGGAAGTGGTAGTATAAAGTAAACTTTATACAGAGTTTTATATTTAAAAACTGAAAAATCAAAAGCTCATAAATTTTGAAGATGTTTTGAATAAACATAAGATTAAATAATCTAAATGTCTAAAATCAATACTTTAGAAAAGTAGATATTAATTTACATATAGAAATTATTAGAAATAATGTATTTCATTTGCATTCCTATTCTGAAGCATATATATATTTTTAATAGAGTTATTTATTCACAAATTAGACATCACTCAATGTCTTCCACTTCTAGTTGCTAGCTGTGTTCCTAAATGTTTTAACAATTTATAATGGAAGGAGTGGAATCTAAGAAATTAGAGCTTTTTCAAAAAAATTTATTAATCATTATACTTTAAAAAAATTTTTAATAACTACATGATTGGAAGCTTTTCACTACAGCTTTAACATATTCAGTAACACACTCTAGAGCAACAGTACATCTCTTTCACAAGTGGGTGCAAGTTTCTAGATTCACAGTTGAATTAATATGTTATATATTATTGAACTAAGTATAAGTCCTGTAAGACATAAAATTGAATGAGTTTTTAACCTTTAAAAATATCTCCATTTCATTTAAGAATATATTGTTCCTTGCAGAAATATT